TGTCAGGGGGGAAAGTCGTGGGGGTGCATTCTCGTCGACTCTCTCCTCGGCTCCGCCAGCCCCGGGGGTGCCCTCCAGGCAGGTGCCGCGCCGCGCCCAGGGCGTTTTTTTTCTGGGAGGGCCCGGATCGCCCCGTGCGCTGCCAGAGAGCCGAGCTATGGCCCGAGATCAAGAGGGGGAAGGCGAATCCAAAACGCCGAGTTCAGGTGACAAGTTGGCCCCTCTGTGCACGACGGGCGAGATGTGGTGTGTGTGTGTGTGTGTGTGTGTGTGTGCTGGGGCCCCCCTGTGAAAGGAGGGCGCCTCCAACAGGCCCACCTGTGAGCGAAGGGCCCGTCGTCCTGTCTGCCCTCCCTCTGTGCTTCCCGTCGCCCCCGCGCCCCCCGTGCGCCTCGTGCCGACGGGCTCGGGGGGGCGGGGGGAGGCGCCGACCACCCGTCCCCCAAGAGTTCGCCGGCGCGGGGCCCGACAGCCCCCCCCCGCCCAGGACCCAGGACTGGCCGGACTCGCCATCGGGGGCCCGTCGCCTGGAGCTGGCCCCCCCTTCGTCGCCCCTCCCCAGAGGAGGTCGTCGTCGTCGTCGTCGTCGTCGTCGTCGTCGTCGTCGTCGTCGTCTCGGAGGGTTTCGGGATTCCCTGGGGGTTTCCATCGCCACGGCTTGACGCCGCCCGAAGAGTGGCCAGGGTGGGCCTGGAGGCACCGAGGACCGACGACCCGAGATCTCCGGCGTCTTGACAGACCTCGAGGCGGCCTTCCTGCGCAAATTGTCGGCCAGGGCTGGACCTAAACGGAGTTTGGGCGATTTCGTGGGCCGTTTTCGGTTTGATTACGTTTTGCGGTACAGGCGGGTTGAAGACAACACGAGGGAAAACGAGAACAAAACGAAAACGAAAAACACCGTGTAGGTTCAGCCCTGCTCGAGGCGGCCTTCGTGCGCAAACTGTCGGCTTCTGGGGGCGGTGTTATATAGGACCCTGGGGCTACCAACAGCGACTCGCTCCAGTCGGGTGTTGCCAGGAGTGCCCCTGGCCCAGGGTGCCCCCAGGATGCCCGAGGAGGCCCCCGCGGCCGCCAAGGAGCACCCCCCACGACACCCAGGGGGGGCCGCAGGGGGTCTCCACGGTTGGAGCGGAAAGCTGGGGGCACCTTGGGCCAGTGGCACCTTCTGGCCACCGCCGATCCAGAGGCGACGAGAGACGGCTCGTGAGAGGCACGCCGCCTCTCGCTGGTCTCCCGACGGGCTGGGCGGGGTGCTGCACGGGTGGCGCGCGTTCCGGCAAGGGCTGCCGCGGTTTGGCGCTTCGCGTTGTCCGTTGTTTTGCTTTGTTACAGCTCGTGAGAAGCACGCCGCCTCTCGTTGGCCTCCCGACGGGCTGGGCGGGGCTCTGCACGGGTGGCGCGCGTTCCCGGCAGGGGCTGCCGCGGTGTGGCGCCTCGCGTTGCCTGTTGTTTTGCTCTGTTGTCAGGGCCAGGTGCTCCCCTCGTCGAGCAGGAGATGGACTGCAGAGTTGAGCTACCTCATCGTTGTGTGTCTCGTCGGCTTCACGAAACAGCGCGTATGCTGTTCCGTTGGTCCGCGGAACATTCCGACGTCTTTGCCCGCAGATCCGACGAAGAAAACACTATTGGGGAAATCAAGTATGTAGCCGATCCCCTACTCGGCCTCGCTTCTCTGCGCTGCGACCTTGCCCCTCCTGATCCGAGCAGTCAGCGCACTGTCTGGTTGGCGTCCGTGCGGGCGTGCACCGCGCACTGCGCGCGGACTCGGTCCGAGACGTGATTTGCCGAACGGGCCCCAGATTATTTTAAAGGTGGGTGGGGTCTCCGATGTCATTGGTTACTTCTGGTTCCGTGGCCTCTCTCGCACATCTTGGTCGTCCCCGTCCCGTCGTTCGCCCTCCGTCAGATTGCTGGATTCTGCGGCTTTCGTAAGTCATGTAAGCATGCCTTAGCGTTTACCCGTGTAGTCCCACTGCTCTTTACCCCCTAGGAAGTGCGATGTGGCCGCTTCGTTGAGGAGTATCAGAGCTACTGCGTGATATGATCCAGTTTCTGTCTCTTCCTCGTCGTCCTCACTCCTCATCCCTGCTTCTGTTCCACACCTCCTGCTACCTCCTTCCTGTCTCCTCCTCCTCCTCCTCCTCCTCCTCCTCCCCTCCTCCTCCCCCTCCTCTTCTTCTTCCTCCCCATTCCACCCCGCTCCTTTCGATCCATTTCCGCTCATTCCTTGTCCTCTTTTCTGCTCTTCCTTCTCCTGTTTCTTGTCCTCCCCAACTTCTTTCTCCTCCTTATTCGTTGCTACCCGCTCTTTCTCCCCTGCCTCCTCATCCTTCATTTTTCCCTCCTCCTCCTCTTCCTCCTCCTCCAGTTCCTCCTCCTCCTCCTCCACGTTCCTTCTTCTCCTTGCTTCCTCCTCCCCACTCTTACTTCCTGCTGCCCCACTCGCTGCTCCTCCTCCCCCTCCACCTCCCACTCCTCCTCCTGGTCCTCCTCCTCCTCCTCCTCCTCCTCCTCCGCAGCGCCCGCCGATGCGGCGGCGCGGGGGCGGGGGAACGGAGGGCGGCGATCTGCGCCTTTCCGTGGCCAGGCCGCCGCTGCTGCCCAACCCCCCCCCCCCCTCGGGGCGAGGAGGGCCGACGGGCTCGCCCCCCTCGGGCACCCCGCAGGACAGCGACGAGCTGCTCCACCGCGTCTCCGCGCTGCTCCAGGGCGACCTCGGGGGCGCCCCCGGCGCCGTCGGCGACCTCTTCGGCAGGCGCCGCCCGGGCCGCTCGACGGAGATCGGCCGTCCGAGGCTCGACCGGCGGCCGTCCTCGGCGTCGGCGTCGGCGCCTCCGGCGCCGCCCTCCGCGCCGCCTTCGCCGTCCTGGGCCTGGCCGTCGCAGTCGCCGCCGCTGGATCGATCGCTCGATCGAGGATCGATCGCTTGATCGATCGATCGCTCGAGGATCGATCGGCGCGCAGGGGGGGCCGCGGTCGTCGCCGCCGCCGCTTTCGCTCCCTTTGCCCCCGCCGCCAGCGCCGTCGTCGTCGACGTCGTCGAAGGGTCGACTCGGCTTCGGCCTCTGGTGGCCCGGTTCGGGTTGTGGATGGTCCAATTGCCGGTCCCGGGAGGGGTCGCAGGATCGAGGCCAGAGGATTGAGGTTCGCGGCTCGAGTTTCCCGTGGACGTCCTCTATCTCGTGTTTCCTCCCAGAGGCCTCCGAAGACCTCGAGGTGGGAGAGAGCGCCTTTCGCGGGCGTTTGCTTGGACAAAACTGCCCCCCCCCGGAAACCCGGGGAGGGGGGGATAAACTCTTCCCCCCCTGGCTTCGAACCTGGGAGGCGGGGGGTGGGCCCGGAATCCGCCCTCCTCGGAACAGGGGGGGAAGGGGGGTGAACCCCACCCCCCGAGGATTCGAACTCGGGGGGGGGGGAAGGCAACGATGACGACGACGACGATCAGGACGACGACGACGACGACACGACAGCGGCGGCGCCGATAGCGAAGACAACAAAGGCGACGAGGACGCGCCAACGACGACGACGACGACGCCGACGCCGACGCCGACGCCGACGCCGACAACGCCGACGCCGACGCCGACGCCGACGCCGACGACGCCGACGTCGACGCCGACGCCGACGCCGACACCAAAGCCGCCGACGACGAGGACGACGCCGAGCACGATGCCGACGACGACGCCGCCAGCGACGCCGACGCCGACGCCGATGGCCGATGCAGACTCCTTTGACGACGCCGAGCACGACGCCGAGCACGACACCAACAACGACGCCTCCGCCGGCGCCGACGCCGACGACGACGATGACGCCGCCGATGGAGAGCACGACGCCGAGCACTACGCCGACGCCGACATCGACGGCGACGATTACGCTGTCGCCGACGCCGACGCTCACGCCCACGACGACGACGACGCACCGACGCCGTCAACGACGCCGAGCATGACGCCGACGCCGACGCCGATGCTCACGCCGGCGACGACGACGACGGCGTCGATGCCGAGCACGATACCGACACAACGCCGAGCACGATGCCGACGACGCCGACGCCGATACCGACGTCGACGCCGAGCACGACGCCGAGCACGACCCCGACAATGACGACGATGCCGAGCATGACGCCGAGCACGACGCCGATGCCGACGTCGACGATGACGACGCCGACGACGACGCCGACGCCGACGACGACGACGACGACGACGACGACGACGACGACGACGACGACGACGACGACGACGACGACGACGACGACTACGCCGACGCCAACTACGACGCCGAGCACGACGCCGACGCCGACTCCGACGCCGGCGATGACGACGACGACGACGACGCCGAGCACGACGCCGAGCACGACGCAGAGCTCGACGTCGACGACGCCGACGCCGACGTCGACGCCGACACCGACGACGACTCCAATGATGACGACCACGCCGAGCACGATGCCAAGCACTTCGCCGACGTCGCCGACAACGACGCCGACGCCGATGTCGACGCCGACGCCGACGCACGCCGAGCACGCCGCCGAGCACGACGCCGACAACGACGCCGACGCTAGCGCCGACGCCGTCGCCGATGCAGACGCCGATGCCGACGACGACGCCTGGTGCCGACACCGATACCGACGCCGAGTCCGAAGTTGGCGACGACTCCGACACCGAGGCCGACGCTGACGTCGACGACGACGACGACAACGATGATGCCGACGCCGACGCCGCCGATGACGACTGCGGCGATGACGACGCCGACGCCGATAACCACGCCGAGCACGACGCCGACGCCGGCGACGACGAGGACGGCGACGACGACGACGAGCACGGCGCCGTCGTCGTCGCCCCCTAGGTATGGGACAAGTTACAGACAACGAAAACAAATTGCAAGCACTTTAGCATAATTCGAACCATTTTTGGAGCGCCCCTGCGAGGCATCTCACAGTCGTCTCTGAGAGGCGTCTTTGAGATGCGTCTCTGAGCGGCGTTTTACAGGCGTCTCTGAGAGGGGTCTTTCAGGCGTCTCTGAGAAGCGTCTTACAGGCGTCTCTGAGAGGCGTCTCTGACAAGCGTCTTACAGGTGGCTCTGAGAGGTGTCTCAATTCCCCAGAGCATGAATCAAGCCCTTAAGCCCTTTACACCCTAAGCCCTCAAACCGTTCAATCCTCAAACCCCCAAGCCCCTAATTTCTCAAACCCTTAATTCTGCCCTTCAATCCGTAACCCTTAAGCACTTACACCCTTAACTCGTAAACTGTTAAACCGTTAAGCCCTTGATCCGTCAAGCCGGTTCGTTTTAAACGCTGGAAGCCTTATACCCTTAAAGTGAAAACCCAGACAACCCGTAAACCTTGAAGATCCTACGCTCATAAGCCGTCAAGTCCTTAAACGTTGAAGCGTGTAAACCTTGAAGCCCTTAAACCCTTACTCCCTTAAACCTCTAAGCCCTTAACCACTGAACATTCTACCCCTTGAACACTTAAGTCCTTAAACCGTTAAGCTCTTAAACCTTTTATGCCCTTTAGCTTAAGCCCTTAGCTTTAGGAATATTCACACATGGTCAAACCATAGTCATGAGACGATGTTTCAATGATTGTTTGATGATGTTTGGGCATGTTTTTTTTTAAGGTTCCGTCCAACATCCGCCTGTAGGGGGACATGCCCGACCTAACAAGCCCTTAACTTGTAAAGACCCCATGTGAACCCTTAAGCGGTTTGAATGGGGATTCTATTCTGGTTTTGTTCGAGGGGATAAGAGTGCCTATTCATTAGCACCGCCATCCACATCTACATCTTGAGTTCCACATCTTCGCAAGCCGTTTTGTGACAACCTGGGCAGTCATGTTAGTTGTTGGTATAACAGGCGCACGCATAAGCAGTTTATTTGGTTTTTGTATGTAAACTGTCATCTCCTCACGGTGATAATCATACAGTGAGGTTATTTGGCTGGTTTGGCTTTTCGTGTTGGTTGGAAGAAGTACCGAAGTACCAGTTGGTTGGGATTGCCCCGACATGGCCAACCCCGGGGGGATCCTACAAGCGACCACAGAAAGTGTCTTTTCCGAGGTGGAGGTCTCGTGAAATTTTCAGAGGCCTCTGGAGACCTCCTTCGATACTGTCGTCGTCGTCCGTTTCGGCGTGATCGTCGTTGTCGATCTCGTTCGCTCTTCTAGCTGATCCAGGTACTCGCCGTCATCCTCGTTTCTGGTATTTCCAGAAGTGGCCCTGGCACAAATGTGACCCCAGCTTTCCCAGGGGAGGCCCGGATGGCCTCCAGAGAGCACTGAGGGGGGGCCTGATGGGGCTCCCAAATGGTGAGGACAACTGGGAACACCTTGGGCTTAAGTCGGGCCTGTCCCTCTACAGGAGGAGTATCCCAAAATAGTCGAAACATAGTCAGGGGGACGACTTCTCGACCATTCTTGACAATCTTTCAATATTTTGGTCAGCTTTTTCCCCCCCGAATCCGCCTGTGGGAGGACATGCCCGACTGAACCCTGGGCCAGGTCTGCCTTTAACAACGCCCGGTGTGTCGTCCTTGACAAGCTCCTTAGCACCGCCTACACCCCGCGCCCTCCGGCCACCTGAGGCCCCGCCCGCCTGCGCTCTGCCTCCCCAATTAGTGCTTTGCGCGGCCCGCCTAGCTCTGAACCGGAAGAGGCTCGCTCTCGACCCTCTGGACGCCCGAAATGGGCACGGAAAGAATGGGTACAATGCCCAACAGCAGTTCCTGTTCATTTTGAACCGGATTCGCTGTCCACGCCGCCGCGGCCTGTGTTCATTTGAGACAGAAGGCCGCCTGCCCAACAGCGGCCGCTGTTGGTTTGGGACAACATTTGTTGTTGGGCATTGTGCCCATTCTTTCCGTACCCATTTCGGGCGTCCAAAGACCCGCAGACCACAAAGTATCGTCCTCGACCCCGCCGCCGCCGCCGCCCAGGCTCTTCTCGGGGCGCACCTACGAGGTGCACGCGCGCTGCGCCGCCCCCGGCGGCGACGCCGCGCCCGCCTTCGAGCCCCTCGCGCGGACGGCCGACGGCGCCAGCGTCGTCGGCTACCCGCTCTCCGAGGACCGGCCCTCCGAGAAGGAGGGGCCTGTCTTCCGCCACGGGCACCACCACAAGCTGGAGGGGGAGGGGGTCCTCGTCCTCGTCCCCCACCTCCTCCTCCTCCTCTTCCTCCTCCTCTTTCTCCTCCTCTTTCTCCTCCTCTTTCTCCTCCTCCTCCTCCTCCTCCTCCTCTTCCTCTCCTCCTCCTCCTCCTCCTCCTCTCCTCCTCCTCCCTCCTCCTCCTCCTCCTCCTCTCTCCTCCTCCTCCTCCTCCTCCTCCTCCCCTCCTCCCCCACCTCCTCCTCCTCCTCCTCCTCCTCCTCCTCCGCCTCCTCCTCCTCCTCCTTGCCCCATCCAACTTATGGTGGTGGTGGTGGAAAACAGGCCCAGCAGAGAAGGAGAAGGTACCCATACCGCTGCCCTTCGCCCCGGTTTCCTCTTTTTTCGGCCTCCTGGGAGGCCCTCGTCGCCACCGCTGGATTCGCCTCGCAAGCCTGGGCAGAACGCGCCCCCCCCAGGAGAGGTCCGGGCAACAGCGGTATCGGTACCCCTTGGTGCCCCCAGGCGCGGCGGGGGGCCGTCGCGGTTGCCGCCGCCGTCGTCGTCGCCGCCGTCAACACGCTTCGGGCGAGGATTTGCGAGCCCCCCTCTCGGACGCCTCTCGGACGCCGCCGAATCGTCGCCGACGCCATCGTCGCCGTTACCACGGGCCGTCACCGAGGGTCGTTGCTGCCGTCACCTTCGGCGTCGCTAGCGTCGCTCCAGCGTCGTCGTCCACGTCGACGTCGCTCTGGTCATAGCTGGCGTCATCGTTGCGTCGCCGTGGTCGTCGGCCTTGTCGTCGCTGGCGTCGCCTCACCTTCCCCTCCCTCCTGCTGCTGCCCCGCCTCCCTCATCTCCTGCTCCTTCTGCTGCTGCTCATCCATCCCTGGTGGAGCCCATCTTGAGGCCTCGGATGCCCGTCGAAAGCGAAAAGGCACACATCATGTCAACAAAACACCATGCCCATGGCCAGTGTTGACCTCTCGGGGGTAATTATCCTTGGGGAGGCTACGTGGCAACCTCAGGGGCCGTCCTTGGTGCCTCTTGGAGGCACGCTACAGGCCGCCTTGGACGGAGCTGGACCACCTTTCGCGATCTTCGGGGCTCTTTTGGGCTATCTAGGGCCGTGCTGGAGGGAGCCACCCGGGGCCATCTTCAAAAACAAAAAGCAGCCCCGCGGCCGGCCGCCAGGACTGCTCCGACAGGCAGTTCCTCTGCATCCCGGTGCAGCGGGGCAACCGGACGCTGGCCCAGGCGTTGCGGGACTTCACGGGCTGGACGCGCACTGGGGGCAAAGAGCTGCTGTGGACGCGGGAGCTGATGGGCTTGTTTTCCACCACCACCACCATGAGTTGGAGGGGGAGGGGGTCTTCCTCCTCCCCCCCCTTCTCCTCCTCCTCCTCCTCCTCCTCCTCCTCCTCCTCCTCCTCTTCGTCCTCCTCCACCACGTCCTCCACCTCCTTCCCCCCTCCAACTTATGGTGGTGGTGGTGGAAGACAGGCCCATCAGGAGCGCTTTCGCGTGCTTCCGCCGTTCCTCTGCTTCGCCGTGCGCGAGGTCACGCAGCTGAACTGGGAGGAGTGCCTCAGCCTCGCGCCCTTCACGGCGCAGCTGACGCCCGAGGCGCTCCTCGCCGGCCTGGAGCTCGCCATGGCGTCGCAGCCGCCAGGGGGGCCCAGTGGGGCAGATGCCACCTCGAACGGACGTGCGAGTTCAGATCCAGCATGCAGCAGCGACGCGACAGTCAAGGAGGTGCCCATCGCAGAGCTCCTGAGGGGCGCGCTGGACGATGAGAAGCTAGAGACTGTCGTGTGTGGTCTGCTGGGTGCCGACACCGCACAGAAGCTCGCAGACCTAGTGTTCGACGGGGGCATGGACACTCCGAACGATACCCTGGAGCAGCTGGTCCAGGGTGGCCACTTGACCTCCGAGGACGTGGAGGGCATTCACCAGAAGCTCTGCAGCTGGAGGCAAGAGCAGCACACGTACGTGGCGCATGCCCTCATCATATACCAGGGCTTCGGCGGGTTCGGCCACTACGTGTCGTTCGCGCGCCAGGAGGACGCGAGCTGGCTGTGCTTTGATGATCAGTTCGTGAACGAGTTCTCCTCGACCGCTGCCGTGCAGGATCCGAAGGCTACACATGAACAAGCATGCGGATGTGTAGATCCGCGTGGAATTCTAGTCGGCGCTGGACACACACACACACAAACACAGCACACACACACACACACACCACACATACAAAACACAACTTAGGCACGCACGCACACACAAACACAAACCCAAACACAAACACAAGCACGCACAAACACAAACACAAACACAAGCACAAGCACAGGCACAAACATAACACAAACACAGCCCCAGGCACACAAACACAAACACAAGCACAACCACACGCACACGCGCACGCACACGCACACGCACAAGCACAGACACAAACCCGAACACAAGCACATAAACACGCACACAGAAACACATACAAACACAAACGCCGACACGAGCACGAACACAAACACAGCCACAACCACAAGCACCAACACAAGCACAAACACAAGCACAAACACATTCACACACAAGCACAAGCACAAACACATACACATATCCAAACATACACACACAACGCACACAATGCACAACCCACACACAACACACAACACACACATGCACACACAACAGACATACACACACAATTCACACACAACACACATCACACACGCCCACTCACACACACCCTGCCTGGCGCGCGTTGCACGCTGTGCGCGGCTCCGAGGGCGGCGCCATAGGGTTTGTGTGCAGGGGCTGGGGTCCAGCGCCGACCCACGCGATCCGCGGGGCCCTGCAACATCTTGCATATCTGTGGCCGTGCGCCTGCTTACCGTGAAGTCGGGCCTGTCCCTCTACAGGAGGACTGTTCAAAAATTATAAAAAGCAGTCGGGGGACGTTCATTGTGACTATTTTGGAGCATTTTTGTTCTACGTGGCACCCCGCAGATGCGGATAAAGAGTGAGGGGGCGGTGGGGACGTTGGCAATTTGCGAGATTCTGGAGAAGCCCGCAGCAGGTGCCAACGTTTCACAAATTATACAACGAGCCCGCCGCAGACGCCGATTTTTTCGTTAAACCAGTGTGGGTAGGTCGCGGGTGGGTCGCGGGGTGGGTTTCGGGTGGGTCGCGGGTTTTGTCGCGGGTGGGTCGCTGTTGGGTCGCGGGGTTGGGTCGCGGGTGGGTCGCGGATGTAGAGGGCAGAAATTCCACCCCATAAGAATCACCCCGACAAGCGAAGCCGTTTAGTAAACGCACACAAGGAATGAATCGAACAGGGCAGGGCTGTTTAGTCAACGCCCAGGGCCACTTTAGTAAACGTCAATTGTCGGGTCCGGGTGTTTTTCCTCCCTTGAGGGTGGGTCGCGGGGTGGGTCGCTTGTGGGTCGCGGGGTGGGTCGCTGATGGGTCGCGGATGGGTCACGGATGGGTCGCGGGTTGGGTCGCAGGTGGGTCGCGGGGTGGGTCGCGGGTGGGTCGCGGGTGGGTCGCGGGGTGGGTTTCGGGTGGGTCGCGGGTTTTGTCGCGGGTGGGTCGCTGTTGGGTCGCGGGGTGGGTCGCGGGTGGGTCGCGGGTGGGGCGCGGGTGGGGCGACGACAAACAACAACGACGACCACAACAATCATTTTAAGTCTGTTCGCCCTTATCTGCTCGAGTGTCCAATAAAGCGTATTTCCCAAAACCCTCGATACCCGCCCTCTTCGTCTTCGATCGAACCCCTTTTTTGGGGGGTATACCTTTCTTCCCTGCCGGCTGGGCCCCGGCAAGCGGCGGGGCGACCGCGGACCGTCAGCCTGGCCAGCGGCAGCGCTGATCGGCGGGGCGGCCGCGGACCGTCCACCCGACCCCAACAGGGACGGACGGGGGACCGACCACGACGACGACGTCGACGACGGCGACGACGACGACGGCGACGACGAGCGAAAGCGAGAGCGAGAGAGAACGACAGCATGGCCACGAAGGACACGAAGTAGGCCACGAAGGGCGACAGCGGGGACACGAAGGGAATGCGTATGGGGCCACGAAGAGCGCGAACGAGCGGGGGCCACGAAGGGCAGATAATGCGGGGCCACGGACGGCAACGATAGGGCCACTGAGGGTAGCAACTGGGCCACGTAGGACAGTGAGGGGGCCACAAACAGCGAAAGCGGGGCCATGAAGGGCATGCACATTGGGCCACAACGGGCGCGACTCCTGCGTGCCTGGGTGTCGGGAGCGCGGCGCTCCAGCAAATTTGCAGGACATTCGAAAACAAGGGCATTATTCAATAAATTGCAAGCAAGTCTCCAGCGAGAGCGCGACTCCACAGCCCCGGGAAAGCGACTCCTGACTCCTGAATAAAATGCAAGGAAGTCCCAAGCGAGAGCGCGATCCCTAAATAAAATGCGAGGAAGTCTCGGGCGGAAGCGGGGGTCCGAGGTAAATTGTGAGGAAGTCTGAAGCGGGAGCCGTTGCTGTTGTAATCCGGGGGCCAGGGGCGCAATTTGAGCATCAAGATTTTCACTGTCAAAAAAACAAAGTGCAAGCGTCGAGAGGCACACTTTGATTGAGAAAAATGGCATGCACCGGTGAAGGGGATCAGCGATAAATATTCTTCAGAGAGTTCAATAGCACCAACAACAACATCAACAACAACAACAACAACACCAACAACGCAACAAGCAGATCTCCCACCACGAATTCCTCATTCAGCCACGCACCCAGGGACAACGAATGACCGCTCGGCCCCTCACTCTGATTCTTTGGGTATTATTTTGTCGAAAATCCGCCTGTCGGGGGACATGCCCGACCTGAGCTTACCTGTTCTTGGTGCTCCTCCGAGGAGGCCATCGCGGAGAAAGCCACTGGCGCCTTCCCGGCTAGCGTGCGCATGGTGGTCTACCGCCGCCTGGGGGCGCCGGGTGCCGCCCGCGAGGCCTTTCCGGGCCCCGTGGAGCCCGGGCGCGGAGAGACGGGAGGTCGAGCAGGATGGGGAGGAGGTTGAACAGGATGATGAGGTCCCAGACATGATCGCGCCGTCATAAGAAAAGTCAGGACGGCAGGTTTTGGGCCATTTGAGGCCTCGGGGGGCCCTCGCCGGGCCTCAGGACCGTCCAAAAACGACGCAGGATGAGAAACCCGTCCCAGGGAAAGGGTCGGGACTTCCAGGGGCCCCGTATTGAGAAATTCAGGACGTCTCATGTCTGGGTCTGCAAGCCTAGATCCCAGTCCACTTCCAGCGCCTGCTCACTCAACAATCGAAGTGCACTGCGTACCAGGCCACCCCTACCCAACCCGAAGGCCCTAGACCACCCCCAAATTTCGGTTTGGGGTTTGTGTGTGTGTGGCTTCTACCGTGTTCTTTCAATGTTCTTGAGTGCCCCCCCACCAGAAATCGACGAGCCTTACTGTCACTTCGGTTGGGTTGGCGTGGCTTGGTAGGTAGTCACAGGCGGCTTCTTTGTGCCTTCCCTTTCTGGGGGCGGGCCAAACCCATTGTTCTTCAGTCGCCTCTCTACTTTGTGTTTACTGGCTTCTCCCGAACGGCCTGGGAGCCTCCTCCGATAGTCTGAAGTAGCCTTGGGATGGCCTCGGATAGCCATAGATTTGCCTCATATGACCCGGAGGGCCAGGTAAGGGGGCGGGGAGCAGAGAAGGTCCCGGGTAGATTCAATATGGTTCCAAGCGGCCTTGACCCCTGGGGTGGGCAGGGCGGGTTTGATCTCAAAGGCTTGTTTCTACGTGTCGTCTGTGACTTGCGGACATGCTGCAGGCACTGTAGTATCTGCCTCGCCATGGCAGTTGTGCCCTGCACGTGGCACATTTTGCGTTTATCGGGCGACGGAGATGACGTCGCCCGCGGGGCGCGCTGGCGCCGAACCGACGTGGCCTGCGTGGTCCCAGAATGGTCAGTATTGAAAGTGCGAACTCCTTCGCCTGCCCACTCTTCTGCCCACGCCCCCCCTAGGGGCCGCCAGGGGGCGCGATTTCGTTCAGAGAGCTGCCGTCAGACTGGGAACTGGAAGCGGAGGAGGCGGAGCATGAGGAATGAGGATAAGGAACGACGGTGATGATTGCAAGTGATGAGTGTGGCTGCGGTGAGAGGATGCGGCGGGTAAAGGATGAGGATGCCAATGGGGATGAGGAGGGGTAAGAATACTGATGACAACCTGAGGGTGGGAGGAGGGGTGAAAGGATAGCGAGGGGCGAAGAATGAGAGCAACGCACGGGGATGACAGGGTGATGCGGGAGGACATGAGGAGGGCGATAAGTAGAAGAAGGTATGGTGACGGGGAGCAGTGCGAGAGGAGGATCCTTCATTCGAGCCAATCGCCGACTAGAGCGGTTCCCCCATGCCCCCATGTCTTTTTTACATCATTCTCGAGTTTCCTGTTTGGGCTCCTGGGCCACTTTCTGCCGCGACCTCCGTTTCATCAATAACCCCCCTACCCCACTCCCAATTTGAGTCGGCAGTCGCTTCGAAGTGCAATCCCCGCCGCTTCTTTCCCCCCCCCATTGTTCGCGGTGGGCTATGGGCTAGCTGGCGACAGGGCCGCCCGGGGCGCCCGCGCACGTCTTGATTTTCTTGGTGTTCTTGTATCGTTTCTATTTCCTGCTTGCCCCGCCCCCTCTCTCGCCTCTCATGTCCTCCTCCTTATTCTACCTCTTTGTTCTTCGTTCGCCACTCTGCGGATACTTGGCCTGCGTCTTCCGTCGCTCCTTGGCCCTGCCCCCCTCTTTCAAGTCTCCACGTTGTTCATTATCATTCTTGTTTTCTCCTCCAACCACCTCCCCCTCCGTCCCTTTTTTTGTGTGTTTTTTGTTTTTTTTGTTTTTTTTCTCTACAAAAGCACGCTCCCGCGGCTGGGTCTCCCTCTGCAGCGCCATCCGCGTGAGGGGTGCCGACTCGTCGCTCGGACGTCCCAGGTCTGCATCAGAGTGGTTGTAGTCGACTTTTTTTTGTGTGCCAGATCTGCGTGAGGGGCGTGGCGACCTGAATCGATGCCTCGTCCAAGCATGATTATTGGGGCTAATGCTGGTTCGCCCTGTTGGGCGCGATCCGCGCGCGGGGCGTTCCGCCGACCTGTCGTCATCCTTGCGGTTCCGATCGTTGTTTGGTTCGCGTTCCAGGGGCCTCTTCGCTTGGAGTGCCAGGGTTTCAAGAGAGCCGCTGCGACGACGGCCGAACCTTCAAACTCCAGAGCGCGAGCGCACGCTACGGCTAATTACTGATGCGCCGCGTGGCATGAACAAGAACATGTTTTTTGGGGGGTTCGTGATTTTTTTCGCGATCGACCGTTGCGTCGGCCCTTGTTTGTTTTGCTTATTTCGTTGGATTGTTTTTTGCCTTGGTCCACCGTGTGCTCTGGGCGACGCGGGGGATTGTTCAGTGTGATTGATCGGCCGTGTGGCTCGTCCACATCAACATCACGGGGTTATAGCCCCAGTGGCAGCGCACGCGTGGCGGCCGCGCCCCATTGCGGCGCGCGCTTGGCACGCTCTGTGGCCCCGTGAGGAGATCCACCGAAATCGATGCAACGACGGTAGTCACAGTTGCGTGTGGTTGGGTGTCTCTCCGGGCGAGTGAACAAATTCAGGGGTCCCTGGAAATCGCGATCCACTCCCGATGGCTAGCTTTTCGTCCTGGCTCGTCTTTTGGTAGTTCCGGGTCCCCGTGAGGCCCCCAGGAGGCCGAAATCTTTGACAAACCTTCGCCGTGATCTTGCACAGCGGCTGGGAAATTGCCGAACACAGCGAATGACTCCCAGAGCAGGGGCAGAAACAACAGAAACTGGCAGATGTCGGGGTTAGGGTCCCGTGGTTGTAGGCCTTTCATAATTATGGGATTCGTGTGTACGGGGTCTGAGAGTCGCGCTGCATCGCCAATGCATCGATGCA